TGTTGGTGTTCTTGTTCACACATCTTCAAAATTTGAAGATATCTTAGATAATGTATCCATTCTGGACAATTTTCTATATCCATTCTTTTTTAATTCTCCTCACCAAAATTCAATTACCATGTAATAAATTCTTCTAAGAGTTCTTAATAAAACCTAGGCTCTGATACCATTTTATATGTGGTGGTACTCCGGGAATAAAGTCAGGTACAATATAGAAAGACATTTGGTACTCCATGTAAATTTATAACACAAGGTACTATTTTGAAAGCCCCTGGTACTATACTGAATGAAAACTGGTACTTTTCTTTTAAAAACAGGTATCGGGGCAGAAATGTAATTTAAACCTTAGAGGGGACCATAAAGTTGTTGACTAGGGAGTTGAATGGAAAAAATTTTTCACTAGGGACTGAATGAGAAGATGAATTTAGGATTGGGGATTTATCTATACATTTCCCTAATAATAATAATATATTAAGTTTTGCCTTTGTAGGGGTGGAAAGTATGCAGAAAACGATGCAAAAACAGTGATGATACAGATACTTAGGGTATGTTTGGTAAGCCAAATAAGCTAGCTTTTAGCTTATTTGGTTAGCTTATAAGCTCCCTGTTTAAAATAAGCCTCGTTTGGTAGGACGAGCTTTTTTAAAAAGCTTGAGCTTATTTCATAAGCTACTTTAGGTAGCTTTTTAAATAAGCTAGTTGAATTTTTTTATTTCAGCTAGCTTATCAGCTAATTTACCAAACACCTTTTATCATATAAGCTAGCTTTTCAGCTATAAGTCATAAGCTATAAGCTATAAGCTCAAAAATTACATATAGACCTTGTTTGGTAGTTAGCGGTTAGCTTTAGCTGATAGCGGATTGTAATAGCTGTTTTGACCAGCTGTTAGTATTGGTTGTTTTGACCGGCTGATAGTGTTCGCTGTTCTAAAAAAGATGTTTGGTTAGATAGCTTATTGATTTGTAAAAATATATTTAATATTGTTAACTTAATTATTTTTTTATATATATATAAATATTCAAAAAGCAATGAATACCAATTGTATTTTATGTAATTATTTTTTGCATCAACAAAAATTAAATTGATTCTTAAATAAAATTAAGTTTACATACTTATTATAATTAAAGTATATTAAAAGAAAGAATATAAATTAAAAATACAAATGTGTGTTAGTGCACTTAAATACAAATTGGTATTTGAAAATGACAACAAAATTTTTATTCTTATCTTTCAAATAGCCCATTAACTGAAATTTAAAAAACTTATAGCAACATTCACATGAAATAAATCCATGAAACTAGATGTGCTAATTAAAATTATATTTGATAATCAAATATTTTGATTAATTATTAATATTTTAAATTACTTTTATCAATATTATAATAATTTAATATTGTTTTAATTAATCGTTGTTATAGTTACCTAAATGCCAAATCAGTATAGTTTTAATACTTAATAGTGTTATTTTGTAATTACAATAATGATAACAATAATATTAATAGTAATGATATTATTAATAATAATAGTAATAATAATATAATATTCATATATGTTTATAGTGTTCCAACAAATATAAGAAAGCAATAAATGTGTCAATAGTGTTTTTATGTTAATTTATTGCTT